TATCGGGAAGTTTATGAAATTGTGATTATGTAAATGGTAATTTGTATTCATTACTCGTTTTCTTGTCACGAGATAGAACAGAGTCAAATCTACATGAACAGCTTGTGAATACACACTTGAAAAATTGACTGGGACCTTTACAGTGACTACTTAAAGTACAAAACAAAGAAAACATCCCCCCCTCAAGCTTTGTTGCGGACGCCTTTTTCATTTTTTCGCTTTGAGTTGAGAAATTGTAATTTTCAAATTCAATTTTTAGTTGTTCAATGACATATTTTGGTGTTTCACAATTATTTTCTTTAACAATTTCACATGCGTCTTTATGAAACACAACTTGTGGTTTACATGAAATCATATTTTTGTAAATTATTAGATTTAAATCTAATTATTTAAAAAACAAATAACAACAAATTTTCAAACTGTTTTAGTTCTAAAAATAATTTATGTAAGTTATGTGCATGGGTGTGGGTGCCAAATCGCTTACCCATTATTTACTTAGAAATTGAAAATAATCAGGGTGTCCCAAAATAAGCTATTGAGCCCAAAACTGCAGAATTTTATATGAAAAAACTTGTTTTTATTTTTTTTAATGCAAACCGGCGGGAAAAAATACCCAAAGATTGTTTTTTTAATGAAAAAAAAATATTTCCCGTTTTTTGCGGATTGGTTGATTTAAAAATATTTGGCAGAAAAAAAATGAATGAAAATGCAAAAGAAAAAAAAATATAATTAGAATTGGAATAAAAAACAAAGAGGAAAAAAGATCAATTTGGTTAAAAAAGATTAAAGACTTTTTAAAAAATAAATGCCAAATTAAAAATGAAATGTGTAAAAAATAGAAAAATACTGTTTTAAAGAACAACTCCTAAAATGATATCATATTAAAAAACAAACATCGTTATTTGTGATCAAAAATCAATTCAACACTTATATGTATTATCGAATATTATGATGTTTATTACAGACAATTAAGATCATAAATCAACAAATTTTATACTCTGTTTTTTTAATGGTAATAATTGTTTTGTGTTTTTAAAATAAAGTAGTTTCTTTTCAGTTTAAAAACATGTACATATATGACAAACTTTATTTAAATTGTCTATTTAATTAAAGTTTGTCTTCTATTTATTGGATAATATGATGTTGATAATTATTATAAGTTACAAACAAAGATATTTTCATTCAAATACAGAAATAATTCAAAATATATTTTTGTAATCATATTGAATTAGAAACTATTTTACATATAAAAATATTGATTTAATTTTTAATCAATATTCGTTGATACAGAAACAAATGTACATATGATGAATTGTAGAATTGGGTTCTTTTTTAAACTTTGTCATATAAAAATATTAAAAAATACCAACCTTTGATATACTTTGTTTTCATTATTACCACACTTTTTTTAATTAAAAACTCATAAGTAACACAAGTTATTAACAATAATTGTTTAAACAAATTCATTATTTTATTTAAATCCAATAC